TGCATTCAGTTCCTCATTGATTCTCCGTTGCTCTTCAAGCTCCCTTTTAGTTTCCTCATTTTCTATCTCAAGAGCAGCACGAGTACGTCGACCAGAAGCTGTTGTACTAGGTTTAGGACCACGTCCTAAACCACTTATGTAGCCAGACTTACGCCCAAACACCTCAATGGAAAGTTGCTCATCAGATAGTGGGCCAGATCCATCTTCTATAGCTTCATTCTCCCGCTCTTTAAGTTTTTTCAACAATTGCTCATGAAATTAAATGTAGTCATTTTATATCTACATTGTAACAGAGCAACTGAAGACATTGATTTTCCTATTTACTTATCCTAGAGAGAACATAATAACTGGTAGAGAAAGCACCATAATCTAGTAGAAGGTCTAATATTCTAACTGAATTTTCTAACTTTAAAGTAGCATTTCCCAAAAGCTGAATTTTCTAACTTTAAAGTATTAACAGGTCTAATATTCTCTTCAAACATGCGTTTTTAGATGCCATGCCATCCTTGTTCCTAGGTATCAGACAACCTACAGAAGCATATCAATCATAAGTTTTATTATTCATGCTTAGCAAACATTAATAGTGTCTGATTTAACCATAAGAAATGCTTAGGAATTAATAGTGTCTGATTTAACCATAAGAAATGCTGGCCAATGAGGTTGAGAAATCAGTTTTTGTTGTGTTTGATCTCAAGGATCTTAACAAACATTTAAGAACTCTGTTGCAATCTTCTTTCTGCTGAAGCCAGTTTTGTAATAGAAGAGCTCAAAGTTTATTTCAGCCCATTGCAGAATTGCCCAGAGCTTAGCTTTTGTTTTGAATGGAAATGGCTTTCTTCCAAGAAGTTGTTTAAGTTAGGTCATTGCAACTACGGCGGTAAGAAAATCTGAGCTGTTCATCAAAGTCTGACCTAAATTTTTGTTTCCACTCTATTTTTCATAATGTTCAGGTTGTTTGGTTTAAAAAAAAAATAAAAAAATAAATGAATAGATCGATATGTACCAAATGGACAAAAATATTATATTTAATTACTTTTTGTTATCAATTTTTTTCAGTGTTAAAAGATAAATGACTAATACTATATATTTTACAATAACGTATATCATATTACTATGAAAATGAACTACCTTCACACTAAAGATCAAATACAAAATTTAAGTAATATTGCTTCTTAATTACTTTGAATGAGTTCACATGTGAATGTTTATCTACGTTCGTACATTCACGAGCACACATTCATGTAGACACTCAAATGAAAAGTCTTGATAAGACAAAAGAAGAATAAGATCAAGAAGAACTAGGACAAATTCAGGATCAATATCAATACTTATAGTTTAAACAGGTAGGAAAAACTTTATTACAAACTTTAAGTCATCAACTACATCAAAAACCTCTAAAAAAAAATAAAAATAAATAAAATAAAGGAGAGAGAAGATTGCAGTTGAAGAACAGGGCTCCCCTTGAGGCAAAACATAATTACAAATTTGGATCATCACCCATATCATAAATCCACCACAATAGAAGAAGAGGATGGACAATATGCATCAGTATCAGTATCAGTATCGACAATACAGTCATATATTAATCGGTCTTTTTCCACTTTTGCAAACATTAATAACGTATATCATATTACTATGAAAATGAACTACCTTCACACTAAAGATCAAATACAAAATATAAGTAATACAAAAGAACTTCAAAAGTGAGAAAAATCTCAAATAAAGCAATATAAAATAAAATCTGAACACAAGTGCGAGTAATTGAAACAGTCACTAGTGAGGTTTCAAATCTTGTCAACTCCTTTTGTCATCCCAAAAGATAAGAAAATATATAGTTTGTACAAAAAAGAAACGAAAGAAAAAGAAAAAAAACAAAAACAAAAACAAAGTATGGTTAAACTAACATATGGGAAGGGATTATGTTATTCTTCAATGCAATTGTTTTGGACAAGAACAAGGAACAGATTATGACTGCAAATATTCACTAGATCAAGCATGACATAGTTTATGGTCTCAAGACCAAGTTGGACCAAGATGGATTATTAGGTCAGTGCCTATACAGTTAAAGCTCCTACCAAACCTTAGCCTTGCAACAACAATGCTGCAAATATTCAAATCATACCATTTTGTCTCATAAACTTTCACTCCAATATTTCCAAACTTAAAAACAGGTGATCTAGTCCTAATCATTTACATTGTTCGTTTTTAGTGCTAAAGATTCACAACACATGAGCCTTAGACAAGTAATCATTAACAGGAAAATACTTATATTTAACATTAGAAAATTCTTACATGTCTAATTTCAGCTTCATTATGGACCCATGCTTGCCTTTTCTGACTAAAGTGTGTCTTGTGATACAAATCAACAAGTCCAAGCTCCTTTCCATCCTTGTCTCGCTGTCAAAACCTTTATAGTTAGTATCCTATGGAGTACATACATCACCAAATAAAAGAAATAAAAAAAGTGCCACGTAGACCCTATGATTTAAAGGTCAGTTGTTTACCTCATCATATTGCACCTTTCTAAATGCCTTTGAGCCAACTGTATGGAGGACTTTAAGCTCAAACCGATTTTCCTTGTTTTTCTGACATTTCTCTTGCATGAAGTGTAAAAATATATTCAGAAGAAATCGAGTCCATGTGCCCAAATGCTTAGTAACAGCAGCAGCTACATGCATAGCAGTAGCCTCCGCCACAGCAGCAGCTGTAGCATCATCAGCAGCCCAGTACAAGCAGCCTACACGAGCTGCAGCCTCACCACAAGTGTGTGCAAGTGCATTACAAGTGTGTTCAACAATTACCTGGTACGTCTTATCATTCCATAATTGACACAGGTATCGCCACACCTCTTTTTCGATATCTTCATGTGGGTTTGCAAGGGCTGATTCCATCGTAGGGAAACTTCTAAAATGTTGGCGTAGATTAAAGCGGTAGGTCTTGTACCGGAGTTTCATCATTCCAAGGATAGAAGCAATAGCGTAAGGTTCATTACTAAAAATGAAACCTTCCTGCCATACCAATAAAATTAAACACTTCAAAACATTAAGCAACATAATTCATAAACTAAAAGGGAAAATTAAACTAGACTAAAAAAAAACTATCTTACTCGAAGGTATGCAATTAGCGTTTCTTTATCCTCAGGGCTAATAAAACTCCACTTCGGCACATTTTGTGGGGCAAATTGCCTAGTGACAATCCCCAACTCGGTGGTGAATTTATCAGACCATGGTCCCAATGGATTCCCAGTAATCCTACAAATTTTAACATCCAATCGCTTCCCTTGACTTTTTATCTTGAGTAATGCAAGGCTTCGTGACTTCCCACGTCCTTTCTTACGCTCTGTTGTATCTATTAAAAACAACATATAGAAAAAACACATCAATGTCCAACATATGCATTGGATGAAAAGAATAAACAACCAACCGAAAAAGAATATAAAACTAAAATATTTACAAACCTACCAGCAATACAACAATCCGTGCTAGAATTCCAAGTATGAGGCTTGTGATGTAACTTCATGCATAGATGTCGATGCTGATGCAGCTGCAGATGTTGATGCAGATGTTGTTAGGGGCACAAACTTTGACGTAAATGAAGGAATTGACTGAATAGATGTGGATGCAAAAGATGTAGCTGCTAATTTGTTGGGCACATAGCCTCCATGTCCTCTACCTCTAAAAATCAATAACAAGAACAATAAAATGGTTTCAGCTGTCTTACATAGAAATGTCTTGTCACGCCCTCAAAATAAACCCATAATAACCATAACATTAACATGCATTTATAAGAGAAAACGAATCGTTTGAGTTATTCATCAGAGTCATATATGTTTTCTACAAATTGTCTCTGTAGTAGCTCACATGGACTAGATTTAAGTGATTGCGGGTTCATATAATTGTTCCTATAAATTGTCTCTTTTTTTGTGTGTTTGTTTTTGTTGGTAATTGAGTTTTCTAGATTTTTGTTGGGTAGTTTGAAATTTGATAATGTCTTTTTTTGGTAATTTTGCGATTTGTTGCTTTAATTTCTATGTATTTGTAGTTGAGGGGAGGTGACTATCTTATATCTCTTGTAACTTTTCTGGTCATGCAATATCGTTGTGTAGTCTTAGTTTCAAGGTGAAATATGTAAATATTGTATTCATGTGTCTGATTACTTTTAACTGTTTCTTGATACACTACAACATATAAGACTTTTGGCGACCAATTATTTTAGTCCCTAAAACTATTATTTTAGTCTCTAAATGGTTTTTGTGACAAAATTAATTTTGTCACTAAAAAAGTCACTAAAAGTGCGTCTAGAAAAGTCTTTAGCGACCAATTTTTGAAAATGTCCCAAAAAATGACAATTAGTGACCAATTTTATATTGTCACAAAATGTTTGATTTTACAAGACTAAACATTTGGTCACTAATACTTCGTCATAAAATGTCCCAATTTGGTCGCAAAAAACAAAATAATGACACTTTTAATGACTATGATATTTGGTCGCTAAAAGACATATAACTTTCTCTACAACACATTTTCGTTGCTAAAAATCAAAGTGAAATTTTGTAATCATTTAATCTCATAGCTAAAATGCACAAAATTAAATGTCATCCAATCATATTAAAAAAAAAAATGACATCCACGTATCAAACCCACTTTATTCCCAAACCATAATGAGTATACAGAAAGTAAATTTGACAAAAATTAAAACTAAAAGTTTCCAAATTCAGATCAAAGTAGTAACAGTTCAAATGAAGAATAGCAACAATACAATAGTTTCTACAAAGAAAATATCTAAAAAAGCATTTTCTCAACATCAATATCAGGCTTTATATCAGACAGGCTTGACACAAGAGGCTTCAAGCTGTACTTAGGTGTGACACCCTTTGGACATCCCTGCAACCCAAAATTCAAAAAGAAGAATCAAATAATAAGAATCAACACAACATAACCTCATTAAATAATCAAGAGTCATTCATAATCAAATAAGTTACAAATAATGAAAAAACACGTTATCTCAGTGTACTTGAAGTATTAGTGAGCTATAATAAGAATCAACACAATAAGGTTATCATAATCCAAGCACGTTATCATAATCAAATGTTCTAAATAACAAACACACTAAATTTATAACTATGACAGATCTATCTAGAGCAAAAGGTACTCACTATGATGGTAAATCAGAAGTAAAACCTCCCCGACTAATCTGTTGCAGCACCAAATCAAGCTTGGCATTGACCTCCACGCTATTAGACTCCAAGTTGTGCACTCTTGCATTCAGTTCCTCATTGATTCTCCGTTGCTCTTCAAGCTCCCTTCTAGTTTCCTCATTTTCTATCTCAAGAGCAGCACGAGTACGTCGACCAGATGCTGTTGTACTAGGTTTAGGACCACGTCCTAAACCACTTATGTAGCCAGACTTACGCCCAAACACCTCAATGGAAAGCTGCTCATCAGATAGTGGGCCAGATCCATCTTCTATAGCTTCATTCTCCCGCTCTTTAAGTTTTTTCTACAATTGCTCATGAAATTAAATACAGTCATTTTATATCTACATTGTAACAGAGCAACTAAAGACATTGATTTTCCTATTTACTTATCCTAGAGAGAACATAATAACTTGTAGAGAAAGCACCATAATCTAGTAGCAGGTCTAATATTCTAACTGAATTTTCTAACTTTAAAGTAGCATTTCCCAAAAGCTGAATTTTCTAACTTTAAAGTATGAACAGGTCTAATATTCTCTTCAAACATGCTTTTTTAGATGCCATGCCATCCTTGTTTCTAGGTACCAGACAACCTACAGAAGCATATCAATCATAAGTTTTATTATTCATGCTTAACAAACATTAATAGTGTTTGATTTAAAGAGAAATTAATTAGTGTGAGAGTTTTTGTCGGGATATATACCTTAAATTATCTCTCTACCATATGATAGTTCTTCGGTTTGATTGTCGTTTGGAAAAGGTGTTCTCTTGTCCTAAGCTATCTCTCTCTTGGAAATGGTGGATGAGGGAGAATCCAAAGAGATAATATGACCCCTCTATCTATCTATCTATCTATCTATCTAATTACTAATATTATTCTTACATAAGTACACCATAGGTCTCTTTGATTTGATTATATGGTGAAAAAGTTATTTAAAATAGAGAAACAGGGAGATCCAAACAAAGAATCATCTGTCTACTTTCCCTTAACTCAATCAACCTATACCACTTGATAGATACCTTACAAATCCGGACAGAGGATTTGGTTTTTCTATGTCTAATTGCTTCTTAATTACTTTGAATGAGTTCGCATGTGAATGTTTATCTACGTTCGTACATTCACGAGCACACATTCATGTAGACACTCAAATGAAAAGTCTTGATAAGACAAAAGAAGAAAAAGATCAAGAAGAACTAGGACAAATTCAGGATCAATATCAATACTTATAGTTTAAACAGGTAGGAAAAACTTTATTACAAACTTTAAGTCATCAACTACATCAAAAACCTCTAAAAAAAAAAAAAATTAAAAAAAGGAGAGAGAAGATTGCAGTTGAAGAACACGTCTGAGATAAATTTGCTTAGAGCTTGCGTATAGCTTATATGTCGGTGCTATGTCGCAAAAATAAATATTTTTATCTTTATTTTTCCAGTTCAATATATATCTTGTGCTTCTAGATTACTTCTCTAGTGGTATTCAATATACTGTATTCTTATGAAGGGTGGTTATTCCAGCTTACTGTTATTCTTATCTTTTTTGTTATGCGCGTAAAAATGTTTATGAACAACAGTAACAAAACAACTGCGACCTCCACAAGCAACAAATATTAACAAAACCATCAGATTTTTAATTTAGTTCATTACACCATATTAAGATAGTCCTGCATAAAGGTCTTAGATTCTTTTAGGGAGAGATCGTAATTACGAGAATAGAATTGTTCAAGTTTAGATGAAAGAGGAACAATACTTTGTCATGTTATAGGTCTCGTGTAAACACCTAAGGATTAATCAAAACATACACACCACAAGAATAACGTCTATACATTACGTCACACTCCTATTGACACTTATCATATATTCATCCCTGAGAGATATCTCGAGGTCATATGAAAACATAATCAAAAAGACCACACGACATAGCATCACAGTCTTCAAGACATAACTATCTACATAAATGGTATTGTCCCGAATCTAAGACGTTTGCCCACCACCCAACCACAGCTCCCAAAAGCGCTCTTGAATTCTTCTCCTTACAGCTTTATTTGATGTTTCTTTCTCTACTTGTTTTCTAGCTCCATAATGAGGCATAGCACATGAGGACAAATTCGTATATGTTTCCCGTTTTCGTCTTTACGTTGGATTCACTACTCGAGCCCATCAGTCTTTATCTGATGTCCCCGGTCATTCACGACTTTCCAAACTAACTGAAGATAAGGACTATTTGGTAGACTATACCCCAAGCCATTACACAGCTTAATTAGAAAAATCTAGCAAATTCTCTTCACTTCCTCAGAATCACAAATTATGAGAATCACTTTGACCTTAACATTCGATTATACCTGTATATTAACCTGTACCATGGCAGATATTTATAATTAATCATATTACAACTTTGCGGAAGGCAAGATTGGAGGATCATATCTATTGTATCAATGCATTACTTAGTTGATCCCTGATGGTTTCTGTTGCTGTTGTTTTTTGCTTTGTTTTTTATTGGGGCCTTGGCAAATACATCCCTGAATTTGTTTGGTCAAAACATAGATATAACTCACATAGTCCAAAAGTAGATATACATATCATGAAACGCTTCAAAATTAGTGTGCCTCATCTTTAAGACCACCATAAGTAAAAGTAACAAGAATTGGAATGAAGATATGTCCTTTGTGTACTTGTCCTGTAACAGAATCGAATCTCGGTAGAATGATAGTAGATTGGAGCATGCAACTTCATAATAGAAGGTGCAATCAAGTACATCATGAGGGTGGTAAAAGAGATTATCATAGTTGCTCACTACATATAAATCAGCCACAAGTACACCGATCTTGTTCCAGCAAATAGGAAATAAAACTGCAACAACCAGACCCATAAAAACCATGACGCACTAGAAGTTGCCCTAATTCATTTGTGCATATCGGCATGTCCAAACGTGCAAGTACTTACAACTAGGTGGTGTATCGGGATCGGACCATGAGTATTAATTGAGTTGATATAACGTGATTCTATTTAACAGTTCCTCCGCCATCGCAAATAGAAAAGACGAAGTTAAATGAGTGAGACAGCATGTCAACTATTCCAAATACAATCGGAAGGTCCACATAACTCAGTCTAAGTAGTCTGCGAGAAGATTGTCCACACTTAGACATATACACAGGAGTTGGTGTGTACCCATCCACAATCTTATACTCAGGGGAACAATCCATTCCAAATCATCAATCAAATCGCTGACCTTTGCTCCTGGTGCAATCCCTCTAAGGTCATAAAAGTGCAAGCACATATGCACCAACTTAATGAGGATGGCCAGAAACAAGAATTGTATAACCGAATT